CTGCCCTTGGGCACTGCCAGGGATGCAGGGGCAGCCCCAGCTGCTCTGGGCACCCTGTGCCAGGGCCTGCCCACCCTGCCAGGGAACAATTCCTCACTGCCAAGATCCCACCCAGCCCTGCCCTCTGGCACTGGCAGCCATTCCCTGGGTGCTGTCCCTGCAGGCCTTGTCCCCAGTCCCTCTGCAGCTCTGCTGGAGCCCCTGCAGGCCCTGCCAGGGGCTCTGAGCTCTCCCTGCAGCTTCTCCTCTCCAGGTGAGCACCCCCAGCCCTCCCAGCCTGGCTCCAGAGGGGCTCCAGCCCTGGAGCAGCCCCATGGCCTCCTCTGATGGGCCGGAGCCAGCCAGCCTGGTGCCCACCACATGCACACACTGGTGTGTGCTGGGGCCAGCAGCCCTGAGCTGGGGGCGGTGAAAGTGTGTTTGCAAACAAGAAGTGAAACTGCTCTGCCCCAGTGCCCAGCTCTGCAACTCAGGGCCGGGGGAAGGAGGGTTTTAAGGGCGAGCAGGCAGCCAGGAACAGCAGAGCTGCCAGCCCAGGTGGGCACTGCCAAGCCACGGCCAAGCACCAAGCACAGGGTACAGTGATCAGCCACAGCTGAAGGCTGCCAGGCTCCATTTCCCTTTTCCACAGAATCTCTCTCCTCTGCTTTGCCCCCTCCCCTCCTTTTCTCTGTCCTGCTTTCTCTCTTCTCCCCTCCCACAGAGCTTTATTTTCCTTTCTCTCACCATTTGCCACCTCGAAACTGGAAACCGCCTGTACTTCCCCATTACAAACCAGTTCCTCTGCACCTTCCTGCCCTCACACAACACCAGTTGCAACAGGAGCCCTGTGGGACACGAGAAGCTTTTGCAAGAGCAATTCCTGTCCCTCCTACCATGCCAGACCTGGGAGCTCAACCCCCGCCTAAAGCAGTGCCAGCTGTGGGGCGGGGAAGGCACTGCCCCCCTGTTCCCCTCTCCTTGCAGCTCCCCACACGGAGCTGGTCCTGGTCCCAGGTTTGGCCCTGGAGAGCCTGAACCGTGTTGGGACCCTCTGCTGGGGAGGAGGGAAGGACAGAACACCGTGGGACCGGAGCCATCCCTCAGCTGTCCCCTCCTGCCATCGCCAGCTCCAGGGCTGGGGGCAGCACATGTGAACAAAGGCCCCACAAGGGACACCAACCAAGCCAGAGTCTGTCCCCAAGGTGATGTACACAGAGGGATCAGCTGTGCCCTGGCCTGAAACAGCCCCACGAGCGTGGCTGGGCAGCTCCCTGGCACTGCACAGCCTTGGATGCGGCAGGGATGTGACAGTGGCACCTCCTGTGTCCCACCCTGCCCAGCCAAGCAAGCCACGGGTGTCACAGGAGCTGTGCCAAGCCTGCCAGGGCCACCAGCCCTGAGCAGAGGCTTGGAGCCTGAGGAATCCAGGCAGAGAGGGGGACAATCCCCAGGAAACCCTGCTCGGCCCGCAGGATCCGTGGGAGGGATTGGTGGCACCAGCCCAAGGCCACCACCGGACACGGGGACGCGGCAGCTGCAGTGACCCGAGTCCCTCAGCCAAAGGGGACGCCTGGTGGTGTGACAAGCACTGTGCCACCTTCACCCCGACACAGCCGGCCTGGGAGCTGTGTCACCCCTCCGCGCCCTCCTCCTCCTCCTCCCTTACTGTCACCCTCGTGCCCTGGGCGACAGCTCCATCCTGTGGCCGCGCACGAACCGGGCGGGGACACCGCAGCTGGCACAGGGACACCGCAGCTGACACAGGGACACCGCACCCCCGGCGGCCTCGGGGCAGGGCTGGCCCTGGGCGGCTCCTGTCTCCTCGGGGAACCCCCCAGCTTTGGGGGGACCATGCACTTCGAGGGCGGCCCCCCTCCACCAGCAGGGGTGCTCCAGGACGGGAGGAGGAAGTGAGTGGTGGCACCGTGCCAGGTGCTGGCATGCTCAGCCAAGGTGTCACCATGCTCCCTGCCCTTCCCCTCATGGATGTGCAGATTCCTTCAGCCCATGGGTAGAGTCACAGAAAACAAGGAGGCTGGAAAATCCCTCTGAGAGCACTGAGTGCAACTGCGCCCCAGCAGAGCCAAGGCCACCATTAATGCATGTCCCCGAGTGTCACACCCACACAGCTGTGAAATACCTCCAGGGATGGGACTCCACCCCTGGCCTGGGCAGCTGTGTCAGGGCTGGACAGCCCTGCCGAGGAAGTGATTATCCCAATATCCAACGTGAACCTCCCCTGGCACAGTTGGAGGCTGATTCCTCCTGTCCTGTCCCTGTTCCCTGCGAGCAGAGCCCAAACCCCCATCTGTCCCCTCCTGTCAGGAGCTGTGCAGAGCCACAAGGTCCCCTGAGCCTCCGTTTCTCCAGGCTGAGCTCCTCCAGCCCCTTCCCCAGCTCCATTCCCGTCCCTGGACATGCTCCAGCCCTCCAAAGGCTCTCTTGCCTTGAGGGGCCTAAAGCTGAGCCCAGGATCTGGGATGCCTCACCCCGGTCCATTGCAGGGGAGATGAACCAGCCCCAGTGGGTGACGTGGCAGGGGAGGAGATCTGGGCCTGGGAGGTCTCACCCAGAAAAAAGACAAGCCAAAACAATATGACAGAAATAAAGGAAGCCGTGGGAAAGCTGCCAGGGAATGACTGTGAACTCCCGCTATTCCCATATCAGCAGGGAGAACAGATCACTTCCCAGGGAGAGAGGAGACTCTCAGAATCTCCACAAGTCCCCTTCCTAAGGAGGCTTGCAGCCAAACAGCTGCTGGAAGCTTCTTTCCCAGGTCTCTGGAGTCAGGCAGCAGGGACAGGCTTGCTGAATTGGCGGAAGGGGAGGATAAGCAGTGGTGACAGAGCAGGAGCTGCTCCAGGAATGTGGAGCTGGGCCCCCCAGCACTCATCCTGACAGGGCTGGGCCCCCCAGGATTCATCCTGACAGGGCTGCAGAGCTCAGCCCCACAGCACTCATCCTGACAGGGCTGCAGAGCTCAGCCCCACAGCACTCGTCCTGACAGGACTGCAGAGCTCAGCCCCACAGCACTCATCCTGACAGGGCTGGGCCCCACAGCACTCATCCTGACAGGGCTGCAGAGCTCAGCCCCACAGCACTCATCCTGACAGGACTGCAGAGCTCAGCCCCACAGCACTCATCCTGACAGGGCTGCAGAGCTCAGCCCCACAGCACTCATCCTGACAGGGCTGCAGAGCTCAGCCCCACAGCACTCACCCAGCTGGGACTGCAGAGCTCAGCCCCACAGCACTCATCCTGACAGGGCTGCAGAGCTCAGCCCCACAGCACTCACCCAGCTGGGACTGCAGAGCTCAGCCCCACAGCACTCATCCTGACAGGGCTGGGCCCCCCAGCACTCATCCTGACTGGGCTGGGCCCCCCAGGATTCATCCTGACAGGGCTGCAGAGCTCAGCCCCACAGCACTCATCCTGCTGGGACTGCAGAGCTCAGCCCCACAGCACTCATCCTGACAGGGCTGGGCCCCACAGCACTCATCCTGACAGGGCTGGGCCCCCCAGGATTCATCCTGACAGGGCTGCAGAGCTCAGCCCCACAGCACTCATCCTGACAGGGCTGGGCCCCCCAGCACTCATCCTGACTGGGCTGGGCCCCCCAGGATTCATCCTGACAGGGCTGCAGAGCTCAGCCCCACAGCACTCATCCTGCTGGGACTGCAGAGCTCAGCCCCACAGCACTCATCCTGACAGGGCTGGGCCCCCCAGCACTCATCCTGACAGGGCTGCAGAGCTCAGCCCCACAGCACTCATCCTGCTGGGACACAATCCCCAGGCACAGCACCTGCCCTGCAGCCCTGCTCACAGTCCCTTGGGAGAGGCTTGTCCAGCCCTTGTCATCCTCCCAGCCCGGGACACAGGCACACACCTCCCATGGGCTCTGCTCTGCAAAGTGTCACCTTCCTGGGGCAACAGAACCCCAGGACCCCTCCCCATTTAACACTGGGACCATGAGTGCTGGACTGGGATCAGCTGGGGAGAAGTATCCTGAGGGGAAAGGACAGACAATTCCAGGCAGTCCAGATCCACAGGTGAAGGGAAGTGTACAGAAGCAGGTCCTGGCACCTCACTCCTCATGTGTCTTGGATGTCCTGCCCTGCCCATGGCTGCCAGTGCCCACAGGTCGGGACCAAGCTGGATGTCCTGCCCACCTGCCCCAAAATCCAGGACAAGGCTGGATGTCCTGCCCACCTGCCCCAAAATCCAGGACCAAGCTGGATGTCCTGCCCAAGGCCCAGGACTCACACCACAAACCAGCACAGAAGCTGCATCTGGGCAATGGGACCAGGAGTCCCTGTCTGGATCCTCCCCCAGACCCGCTGCCCCCACAGGCAGCCCCTGCACCCTCTGACCCTTCCCCAGAAAAGCAGCCAGAGCCAGCCTGCTCACAGTCATTCTGGAGCAAAGGGAGAACAGCTCCTGCTGCCCACTGCTCCCAGCTTGCAGGACCAGCAATGCCCAGCACAGGGAAGCCAAATTCAGTTTAGCAACAGGCATGGAGAAGGGATGAGTAATCCCAACCCACAGGGATGCTGAGTGGTTTCCAATATGATCTCTCAATGAAAACTTAATCAGATAGTGGGAGGAAATCCTTCCCTGCCCAGAGCAGCTGGGGCTGCCCCTGCAACCCTGGCAGTGCCCAAGGGCAGGCTGGACACTGGGGCTGGGAGCAGCCTGGGACAGTGGGAGGTGTCCCATGTCCCATGGCAGGGGTGGCACTGGGTGGGCTTTAGGGTCCCTTCCCACCCAAACCATTCTGTGGTTCTATGATAAAACAAGAAAATAGGAAATAAAAAGCTTCCTTCCCGTTTTGCTTTGGTAAATGGATTTTGGTGAGTTCTTCCGTTTCACCTGCTGCTGTTGGCTCCTCTAGCACCTTCACAAGCACGGACAGCCAAAGCCCTTCAGTGCCAGCCCAAAGCCCCCTCCCAGCTCCCAGCACGGCCCCAGAGCCCCCTCCCAGCTCCCAGCACAGAGAGAAGAAAGGAAAGTGTCTGTACCTCGGGACTTACTGTGTGTTTCTTAGTCATTCTCCAGAGGATGCAGGTGAGCAGCATGTGGCCCAGGGCCGACGTGATGAACACGATGAAGGCATTTTCATGGATTGCTGGATTGACAAACAACAGGTTTCCTGTTCAATCCAAGCCAGGAGCACAAGGGGAACGTGGGGCAGGATTTGGGAAGGCTTTGTGCTCTGCTGGGAGCCCCAGCACTCCTAGTGATGCTGGGACTCCAGTGGGGTCTTGGCAGGAGACAGGCACAGCACGGCTCCATAACCTTCTCCTGCTGCCTCAGGGCCCCCTGGAAGGGGATAAAAGTGCCTGGAAGACTTATCCCAAAGTGCCTGGAGGGTGTTTCTGTGCTCTGGGACCACAGTTTCACACAGCTGTAAAGTAACACTTGGGAGCAGCTCGGCATTGCCACTGTTGTTCTAGGGACAGAGAAACTGAGGCACGGGGAGGGGGGTACAGAGTGAGCCAGTCCAAAGTTCATCTTCTGTCCCCTGTATTGCCTACTGCCCATTAGCAGCATCAGCAGCCTCATGTGCAGCCTGAGGTTGCCTTGTGCATAGCTGGACTAGCCCAGGTACAGGATCAGGCTGGGAAAGCAGCTGGAGCAAGGCTAAGGTAGAGCTGCTCCCAAGGCCCCAAACCCCACACAGCCCCCGCACCTTCAGGTGAGAGATTTTCACAAGTGCTGCTCTGAAGAGAACTTCCCAGCCCCTTCCCCAGAAGCTAAGCTGAACCTCAGGCTGAATTCCCAACCACCTGAGCACCAGGAATGCCCATCCCTGTGTGCCCTCTCCATGCCAGGGGAAGGAAAGCACGTGAGGAGTGAGGTGCCAGCAGGTGGGAGAGGTCAGAGCAGGGTGCCCTGCAGGGATGGATGGGGAGAGGTCAGAGCAGGGATGGGGAGAGCTCAGAGCAGGGTGTCCTGCAGGGATGGGGAGAGGTCAGAGCGGGGTGTCCCACAGGGATGGGGAGAGGTCAGAGCAGGGATGGGGAGAGCTCAGAGCAGGGTGTCCTGCGGGGATGGGGAGAGGTCAGAGCGGGGTGTCCCGCAGGGATGGGGAGAGGTCAGAGCAGGGATGGGGAGAGCTCAGAGCAGGGTGCCCTGCAGGGATGGATGGGGAGAGGTCAGAGCGGGGTGTCCCACAGGGATGGGGAGAGGTCAGAGCAGGGATGGGGAGAGCTCAGAGCAGGGTGCCCTGCAGGGATGGATGGGGAGAGCTCAGAGCAGGGTGAGGGATAGGGAGAGGTCAGAGAAGGATGCCCTGCAGGGATGGATGGGGAGAGGTCAGAGCAGGGTGTCCCGCAGGGATGGGGAGAGGTCAGAGCGGGGTGTCCCGCAGGGATGGGGAGAGGTCAGAGCAGGGTGTCCCGCAGGGATGGGGAGAGGTCAGAGCAGGGTGTCCTGCAGGGATGGATGGGGAGAGGTCAGAGCGGGGTGTCCCGCAGGGATGGGGAGAGGTCAGAGCGGGGTGTCCCACAGGGATGGGGAGAGGTCAGACCGGGGTGTCCTGCAGGGATGATTAACCTGAGCATGGCAGCTCAGGGCTGAAACTTTCTCCAGAGCCGGGGATTAGTCTGGGGTGAGGATCCCAGGAAGTGGGTCAGCCCACTCCCAGGGCTCTGCACCGGGCTGGCCCTGCTGGCCAAACCTCAGAGCAGCACCTGCATTTCCAAGGGCAGGGCCCTGGCCTGGACAAGCTGGAGAAGGCCCTGGGGCAGGTCAGGCTGCAGACCCTGCCATGAGAGGGGCACTGGGACACCTCACCATGGGGACAGGGCAGGCTGGCAGGAGACAAGGGGGGTGAGTGGGACAGGGACACGTCCCAGAGCACAGACCTCTGTTGGAATGTTGGGGGACACAAGACAGATGATGCACTTTGGACCTGGTTACCATAAGAGATTTGATTACAGGATGCCTTGGCAAAAGCAAACGGAACTTTGAAAATTAGAACGAGATTGTAAGAAGATTAAATCAGACAGGTTTACCAGAAAAAGAAAATCCCATTAAACTCTGCAAGCAAGAGATGCTGTTATATGCATAAGTTTGTGTGTGTGATTTTAGCCTAACTATTGCAGTACACATTACTATCTCCCTGAAATAGTACATAAGTGTTTGTATCCCACAATAAAATCGGATTCTGATCACTGAGTCAGTCTCCCTGTCTCTCTCCATCACTGACAGACCCCCATCACCAGGAGGTTCCTGCCCTGCCATCCCAGTCACTGGGCTCCACCACAGAGCATCCTCACCCAAAGGCTGGGGGAGATCCTGGGACTCTGCTCAAAGCACCACAGCCCTGAATCCCAGAACAGTTTGGGTTGAGAGGGACCTTAAAAACCTTTTCATCCCTGTTCCTGCCATGGCAGGGACATCTTCCACTGCCCCAGGTGCTCCCAGCCCCAGTGTCCAGCCAGGCCTTGGGCACTGCCAGGGATGCAGGGGCAGCCCCAGCTGCTCTGGGCACCCTGTGCCAGGGCCTGCCCATCCTGCCAGGGAACAATTCCCAATTCCCAATTCCCAAGATCCAGCCCTGCCCTCTGGCAGTGGGAAGCCATTGCCCTTGTCCTGGCACTCCATTCTTTGTCCCCAGTCCCTGTGCAGCCCACAGCTGGGCACAGTACCCATCATCACCATCCTGCTGTGCAGGAAAAGCCAACACATTGCAGCCCTGCTGATACAGCCCAGCACAGGGTGTGCTCCCACTGCAACAGCACCACCTTGCTGGCTCCTGCATTTCAGTGCTCTCCACTTAACCCCTGGGGCCTCCTCCAGATCTTAGGATGAAGCAGCAGCTGCAGACCAGCACTGGCACTTGTGTTCCTCTGAGATGAGACCATGTGGGGAAAGAGAATTTCCCAGTCTGTCATGGCCAGGTTCTGGATACATGGATTTATCCTGAACAACTCTGATTCTGTTTCCAGGAGCTATCAGAGGGCTGGAGCCCCTCTGCTCTGGAGCCAGGCTGGGAGAGCTGGGGGGGCTCACCTGCACAGGAGAAGCTGCAGGGAGAGCTCAGAGCCCCTGGCAGGGCCTGCAGGGGCCCCAGCAGAGCTGCAGAGGGACTGGGGACAAGGCCTGCAGGGACAGCACCCAGGGAATGGCTGCCAGTGCCAGAGGGCAGGGCTGGGTGGGATCTGGGCAATGAGGAATTGTTCCCTGGCAGGGTGGGCAGGCCCTGGCACAGGGTGCCCAGAGCAGCTGGGGCTGCCCCTGCATCCCTGGCAGTGCCAAGGCCAGGCTGGGCACTGGGGACAGTGGGAGGTGTCCCTGCCATGGCAGGGGTGGCACTGGGTGGGCTGTGAGGTCCCTTCCCAATGCAAACCAGTCTGGCATTCCATGATTCTATGAAATTTTGCCCAGAAACTCCTGGGGAGGGTTTGTGAAGGCAGCTGGAGCAGAGCCAGCTCAGAGCCCAGCCCTGCTGTGGGGATGGAGGGGAAGCAGGATGAGCTCTGACCCACCTCAGCCCTGGATCAGGCCTGGTCACAGGGGTGGAACCAGCTGCCAAGACTTGGTCCAGGCTCCATCCCCAACCTGAACCCAGGGCTTCAACCAAGCATCAGCAACCAAGAACTGTGGGAAAAGCAGCAGTATTTACACACCGTGTACCCTTCATTCCTCTATAACCACTAACCCCAATGGACTCCCTGGGGGCTTTGAACTGTTTTCTCTCCCAGCTGCAGGGAGAGGGGCGGGCAGGGGGGACACCTACCATAGTTTTCGGTGGAGGACACGTAGGTGAGGATGAGGAGGGCGAAGTTCTCGATGAGGTTGAGCAGCAGGGTGGCGTGGCACAGGCGCAGGTAGCGGGGGTGGGGGCAGTGGCAGCTCTGGTAGTGGTTCCAGTAGGCCACAGCCACGAGCAGGCGCGGTGCTGAGTGCAGGCCGATGCACAGGCGCCACACGTAGCGCTGCGGGGTCTCGCCCCCGATGGCCGCGCTGATGGACGGCAGGTAGTTGGGCACCTGCGGGGACACGGGCTCGTGGGGACAGGCACGCGCAGTGTGCCCCTCCACACGCTGAAACTGTCCTTTCGGTAATGCTCAACGAGGTAATTCCTAGCCCCAAAGCCAGGGGATGTATCGTGGCAGCGCCCCCGTCCATCCCATGGGGTTGTGGATCACTGCTGGGGCAGGCCTGGGGTGCTGGGGGGCCCTGCCCAGGTACCTGCTCAGGTTTCTCCCTTTTACACTCCTGATTGTCCAGAGAATCCCAGAACAGTTTTGGTTGGAGGGACCTTAAGGCCCAGGGACACCTCCCACTGTCCCAGGCTGCTCCAGCCCCAGCGTCCAGCCTGGCCTTGGGCACTGCCAGGGATGCAGGGGCAGCCACAGCTGCCCTGGGCACCCTGTGCCAGGGCCTGCCCACCCTGCCATTCCCAAGATCCCATCCAGCCCTGCCCTCTGGCACTGGGAAGCCATTCCCCCTTTTCTGGCACTCTAGGCCCTACTGAAGTTCTCCTGCTGGAGTGAGATGTCTCCTGCCCTCCATCCCCAACTCGTGTCCAGCTGCTCGTCCAGCAGCCTGAAAGCCCTGAGCCCAATCCCATCCCACATGGAGCTCCAGGCCCTCCCTCCCTGACACCTGTGGCTCCTCTGAACTCCAGCAGACCTGGGGCAGCAGCTCTGCACCAACCCCTCCCCAGGACAGTGTATTTCCCTTCAGCTTCCCCACCTTTATTCCTCACTGCAATAACCCCCAGCGTGCCCAGTCCAGACACCAGCCTGACCAGTCTGTGCTGCCTTCAGTCCCAGCACAAAGCCAAACCTGCTGCTGCCGGTCCTGAGGCACCACAAGGACAATGAAACGATGCAGCTTGCTCTGGATTCTGGAAAACTTTGGTGGGAAAGTCCAAGAGAGGAGCCCAGAAGGAGGGAGAGGAGGAGAGAGGAATCCAGAAGGTAGATACGAACGCAGGAGGAGAAGGGAGCCCAGAGGGAGGGAGAGGAGGCCAGGAGAGGAGACAGAAGAGCCCAGGAGGAGGGAGAGGAGCCCAGGAGGACACAGGAGCTCTGTCACCCCCCGGGAACATGGGTTTCCCCCAGATAGCCTCTCACCCCACAGTGGGTTGCAGTCGTCTCACGGAAGTTGAAGAGCAGAGACCAGATGACACAGAAGAGGAACCCAAAGAGGGGGCAGAACACAGTGCCCAGGGCCAGCGTGGTGAAACGCAGCCGGAACAGGATCCCGTCCCGATCCAGCGGCAGCGGGACCTGCAGCATCTTGGAAACCTGGAAATGAACGAACCAATCTCTGACCGGGGTGCTCTGGCCTGCTCTGGGCAGGGTGGCAGGGTGGGGATCAGTCACAGGCTGGGCTCCGTGACCCCACACACACAGAGCGCAGCCCCTCACACCCTGAGTGACCCCACACACACACAGCTCAGCCCCTCACACTCCCTGTGACCCCACACACACACGGCTCAGCCCCTCACAGCCTGAGTGACCCCACACACACACGGCTCAGCCCCTCACACTCCCTGTGACCCCACACACACACGGCTCAGCCCCTCACAGCCTGAGTGACCCCACACACACACGGCTCAGCCCCTCACACCCTGAGTGACCCCACACACACACGGCTCAGCCCCTCACAGCCTGAGTGACCCCACACACACACGGCTCAGCCCCTCACACCCTGAGTGACCCCACACACACAGAGCTCAGCCCCTCACACCCTGAGTGACCCCACACACACACGGCTCAGCCCCTCACAGCCTGAGTGACCCCACACACACACTGCTCAGCCCCTCACACTCCCTGTGACCCCACACACACACTGCTCAGCCCCTCACACCCTGAGTGACCCCACACACACACGGCTCAGCCCCTCACACTCCCTGTGACCCCACACACACACTGCTCAGCCCCTCACACCCTGAGTGACCCCACACACACACGGCTCAGCCCCTCACACTCCCTGTGACCCCACACACACACGGCTCAGCCCCTCACACCCTGAGTGACCCCACACACACACGGCTCAGCCCCTCACACTCCCTGTGACCCCACACACACACAGCTCAGCCCCTCACACCCTGAGTGACCCCACACACACAGAGCTCAGCCCCTCACACTCCCTGTGACCCCACACACACACGGCTCAGCCCCTCACACTCCCTGTGACCCCACACACACACGGCTCAGCCCCTCACACTCCCTGTGACCCCACACACACAGAGCTCAGCCCCTCACACCCTGAGTGACCCCACACACACACGGCTCAGCCCCTCACACTCCCTGTGACCCCACACACACACGGCTCAGCCCCTCACACTCCCTGTGACCCCACACACACACTGCTCAGCCCCTCACACCCTGAGTGACCCCACACACACACGGCTCAGCCCCTCACACTCCCTGTGACCCCACACACACACGGCTCAGCCCCTCACACCCTGAGTGACCCCACACACACACGGCTCAGCCCCTCACACTCCCTGTGACCCCACACACACACAGCTCAGCCCCTCACACTCCCTGTGACCCCACACACACACGGCTCAGCCCCTCACACCCTGAGTGACCCCACACACACACAGCTCAGCCCCTCACACTCCCTGTGACCCCACACACACACGGCTCAGCCCCTCACACTCCCTGTGACCCCACACACACACTGCTCAGCCCCTCACACCCTGAGTGACCCCACACACACACGGCTCAGCCCCTCACACTCCCTGTGACCCCACACACACACGGCTCAGCCCCTCACACCCTGAGTGACCCCACACACACACGGCTCAGCCCCTCACACTCCCTGTGACCCCACACACACAGAGTGCAGCCCCTCACACTCCCTGTGACCCCACACACACACAGCTCAGCCCCTCACACCCTGAGTGACCCCACACACACACAGCTCAGCCCCTCACAGCCTGAGTGACCCCACACACACAGAGCTCAGCCCCTCACAGCCTGAGTGACCCCACAGCCGCAGGATGGGCAGCCAAAGAAATCCCATTGTGTGGACACAGGCACCTCGAGACTCACGGAGAACAGGGAGCAGGCAGAGCAGGGCAGAGCAGGGCCGTTCCCTGCAACCCTCCAGAGGGATCTGGCAGGAAGGGCACGTGAACCCTGTCCCGTGGCATCCATCCAGACCATTCCCTGTGCTCGGGGCAGCGCTGACACAGCCGGGCAACCGCTGTCAGTCCCGCCGGGAGCCGCAGCTCCTCCGGCACAGCCCTGGCTCCACAGCCCGGCTCCCCCAGCTCCGGCTCCCACAGCCCTCGCTCCACAGCCCCAGCTCCACAGCCCCAGCTCCACAGCCCGGCTTCCCTGGCTCCGGCTCTCACAGCCCCGGCTCCACAGCCTCGGCTCCCACAGCCCCGGCTCCACAGCCCGGCTTCCCCGGCTCCGGCTCTCACAGCCCCGGCTCCCACAGCCCCGGCTCCACAGCCCGGCTTCCCCGGCTCCGGCTCCAACAGCCCCGGCTCCCACAGCCCCGGCTCCCACAGCCCCGGCTCCCACAGCCCGGCTCCCCTGGCTCCGGCTCCCACAGCCCCGGCTCCCACAGCCCGGCTGCCTCAGGTCCGGCTCCGGCTCCCACAGCCCCGGCTGCCTCAGCCCCGGCTCCCCAACCCGTGTTCGCCCCGCCGCACCCGGCCCTGCACGGGCAGCGCTGCCTGGAGCTGGGCCAGGGCAGGGTTAGGCTGGATATTGTGAAAGGTTCTTCCTATCTTCCTGGCACTGCCCAGGCTGCCCAGGGAATGGGCACGGCCCCGAGGCTGCCACAGCTCCAGCAGCCTTTGGCCAGCGCTGCCAGGGATGCCCAGGCTGGCCTTGGTGGGCTCTGGGCAGGGCAGGGCTGGCACGGGGGGATCCCTGGGGGTCCCTTCCCTCAGAACATTCCATGGCTCCGCACACCCCCGGCTGCAGGGTCAGGGCAGCACAAGCCCCACACAACCAAACCGGGCTGTCAGGTCGGGAACGCGGGGACAGGCACAGCGATCCCCAGCCCCAAGGAATCCCCTCAGGCCCAAGGGATCAGGCTGGGATGGATCCCACAGCCCGGCTGCGGGACAAATCGGATTTACAGACAATCCCTGAGCCGTCTGGGCAGTGCCCCAGGGCAGCACGGCCACTGTACCCGCACCAAAAGCCCCCCACAACGGGGGGCCGAGCCCCAGGGAAGGCACCGACGCCAAGCACCGAGGGGCCACAGAACGAACGCAGAGCTCAGCCGCACCCGCGCTGCCGGGCACGGAGACAGGGAGTTATGAGGATAAAAGCAAAGAGAAAGGGAAGCTCCAAAGGGCCGAGTGTGGAAGGGGGTCCCCGGCCGGCCCAGGCTCACCTCCCCGAGACCCCCCGAGGGCTCCCCACAGCCCGGGGCGGCGGATGGAGCCTCCCAAACCCTGCTCCTCCCTCGGGGGGCTCGGCCACAGCTCCCCGTGCCGTGGGACACCCCGAGGACCCCACGGCAGGAGCCCCACAGCCCCTGCCCTCCCTCCGCGCGGGGGTCTCGCCCAAAGAGGGCAAATAAAAGGCAAAGCTTTTATACCGCGTGTTGAATGGCCACGACCTGTCCTGCAGGAGAAGGGCTGCAGCACCCCGAGAGCTGTCCCGGGTACCGCACACCCTCTTAGACCCCTCTCCGGGCACCCCCCGTTCCCCCGGGGTCCCCGCAGGCGCCCCCCGCCCCAGGACCCCCAGGCTCCCGCACTGAGTGACCCCTCGGGGCACCCCACATTCCCCCAGAGACGCTCCCTGGGACCCTTCCCCAACACCCCCATGCCCTCGCTTACCGCTCAGCCCCCGTGGCGCTGCCCCATGGCCCGGCCCGGCAGCCCCACCACGCCTCCTCCGCCTTTTCCGCCTCCTCCTCTTCCTCCCTTTCTCCCACCTCTTCCTCTCCTTCCTCCGCCCCAAAAACCCGCTGCGGCCCCTTTAAGAGGCGGGGCCCAGCTCCCGCGCGCCGCCACGCACGATTGGTCCTCACGGCAGAAGCCCCGCCCCCTCTAAACGCCCCGGATGTCAGGGTGGCGCCGCGACACGGGCCGTTCTGGACCCTTCCGCGGCGCCGAGCCCCGCCCTCTCCGCCGCCCTTTCGACCAATGGGCGCTCAGTGCGCGGCGCAGTTTGGCCCAATCAGCGTTGAGCTCGGGGCGAGAGCGGGGGGGGCGCGGCCAATGGGAGGCGGAAGCGGGGCGGGGCCGAGGCGGCGCGCGGGGGAGGCCGGGAGTGCGCGCGCGGGCTGTGACGCAGCTGCGGCCCCGTGAGGCGGCGGCGGCGGCACCGCGGGCCCGACCCGGCCCGGCCGCTCCTGAGCGGCGCTTCCCGGCACCCGCGGTGAGCACCGGGGCCTGCGGGGGCTGCCCCGCCCGCCCCCCGCGCCCAGCGACGCGGCCCGGCCGCCCTGCCCTCCCGGCGTGGCCGTGGCGCCGCCGCCAGGCCTTTTGTGCCGGGAGACCGGGCGGTCCCGGAGTGGGGGGGGCGCGGGGAGGCCCCGGGACGGAGGGAGGGCCGGAGGGAGGCGGGGAGGCCGTGAGCGGCTGGTATTTCCCGGCAGCCGTGCCGCGGCTCTCTCCGCAGTACCTAAAAATGCCTTGGGGCATTTTTAGGCCTTTTCGGTTGTCCCGGTGCGGGTCCGGTGGGAGATTCCGGGGGTTTTCCACGGGGGATACGCGGCTCTGGATGCGGGTAACGGCCCGGCGCTCCCCGGGGCCGGGAGTTACTTGCTGTCGTGTTAAATAGTCGTACTTTAAAGTTAGGTTGGTTACATGTGACTTGAAGTTATGTTGGTGATGTGGGTTTGTTTGGGTGCTTCTGGGGGATTTTCTGCTGTTGCTGTTAAACTTCAATTAGAGCTTTTTGGGGCGTGGGGTCCCTCCTCAGCGGGGGCTGCAGCGAGTGGGAGAGGGATCCTGTGTAAAACCCTCGAGTTTTACTAATTCTGCTCCAGCTTTGGGTTCACTGAATCCCCAAATCCCAGGGGCTGGCACAGCCCTGCCAGCCCATGCAGTGCCAGCTGTGCCCCATGGGCACCCTGTCCCCAGCCCAGAGCACTCAGTGCCACCTCCAGGGCACACCTGCAGGGATGGGCACTGCAAAGCTCCCTGGGCAGCCCCTGCCAAGGCCTGAGCTCCCTTTCCATGGGCAAATTGCTGCTGCTGTCCCAGCTGAGCCTGCCCTGGCCCAGCCTGAGGCCGCTCCCTCTGCTCCTGTCCCTGTTCCCTGGCAGCAGAGCCCGACCCCCCCGGCTGTGCCCTCCTGGCAGGGCCTTGTGCAGAGCCACAAGGGCCCCTGAGCCTCCTTTGCTCCAGCCTCAGCCCCTTCCAACTCCCTCAGGGATTCTGCAGCCCCTTCCAGCTCCCTCAGGGATTCTGCAGCCCCTTCCAGCTCCATGCCCTGCTCTGGGCACACTCCAGCCCCTCCAGGGCTCTCTTGCTCTGAGGTGCCCAGAACTGGACACAGCCCTCGAGGTGCAGGGGAGGAGGGGTGGGTTTGAAGTTGAACAAAATGCTTGCTGTGGGAGGGGGAATCTTTCCATAACACGTTTTCTCTTAAAATATTATTTTTAGTTTTCTTCTTAGGTAGAGTTTGGCGTTTAGTGATCTCAGGACAATGTGAGAACTGTGACTTAGCAAAGCGGAGCCACAGAAAATGAGTGACTTGTGAGTTTGCAGATAAGGCTGAGAGTCACAACATCGGACAGCAGGAAAGTGCAGGTGATTTTTATCTGGCCTGAAAGGGAAACTTGCACTGGCACAAGGGGAGGTGCCTGGAAATATTCCATAGGAATGGAGAGGTGTCTTTGGGAGCAGATTCTGGTGGAGAAGGACCTGGGGGGGTCAGCCTGGAGAAAAGGATGTGCAGGGTGGACTTTTCCACTCTCATAACTCCCTGACAGGAGGCTCAGCTTGGACAGCAGCAGGAGTTTGCCCATGGAAAGGGAGCTCAGGCCTTGGCAGGGGCTGCCCAGGGAGCTTTGCAGTGCCCATCCCTGCAGGTGTGCCCTGGAGGTGGCACTGAGTGCTCTGGGCTGGGGACAAGGTGCCCATGGGGCACAGCTGGCACTGCATGGGCTCCTGGCAGGGCTGTGCCAGCCCCGGGGATCCCGTGGAAGAAGGTGAGGAGGGCTCAGGGTGCAGTGTTACCCTCTCCCAGGAGCTCCTCTCAGCTTGGGGAGCTCTGAGAGTTTGTCAGAGCAGCTTTTCCTGGCTTTTACCAGGATCATTTCACTGAAATTCCTCTTCCTGGGACAAATGAAGCCTGTAAGGGTTTGCCTGTGGATGTGTGGAGACCCTTGACACTCCAGGATTGTGTGGTGTGTCTGTTGGCGTAGTTGGAGGCGACACTACAAATCATCCTTTTATTTCTCCTGCCTGGGCTGGTTGTTGTGGGCTGGTTTGGTGCCCAGCTGCTCAGGGATGGGGGAGCCTGTGGCTGCTCCCAGTCTGGATTTGGCCATTCCCAGAAAGTGCTGCTGGTGTTAGGGAAACGAGCACTTCAGTTTGAAGGCTGGGCACATGGATGTAGCAGTTTCCCTGGGGGAGGCTGTGCTGGGCAATGCCCAGTCCCTCTGTGCTTGCCTTGGGCACAGGGAAAGGGCAGCTTGGGCTTTAGAATTGTTTGGAATTCTAATGGAGTTGTTTGCCCTGGGAATATTCCTGCTGTGGGCCATCCTTGCACTGCTGATGGTCTGCAGTGCTGTGTGTGGCTGCTGCTGCCAGGAGTACCTGGGAATGTGGGGGAATCGCTCATTTCCTGCTCAATCTGGAGGGAGTGGGGTAGTACTAGCATTTTGTTTTTGTTATTGGACATTATTTTGGTAACGTGTATTTTTTCTGGTTAGCATTGTCATTTTCTTCTGGCTAATATGGCTTTTGATGGATCATTACACCCATTATTTTTGGTCAGCATGGCATTTTTGGGGTAATGCTGACTTTTTTAACTTTGGCTTTTTCTTGCTAAAATGGCTTTTTTAGGGTTTACATGGCATTTTATTTTTCTAGTTCTAGCTTTTTGTTGTTGTTGTTACTAGTACTGCTGTTTTGGGGACAATATGAACATTATTTGGGGCAGCACTGGCTTTTTTTATTTATCTGGCACGTTCTTGGCTAATCTGGAGCTTTCAGTGGTGAAGCTGCAGGAAAACGCCCCACAGTTCCCCACAGTGTGCCCGAGGAGCTGTGGGGATTCTTGTGCTGGGTTTGTTGACAAACTCGGAGAGCTGGAGCCGAGTTTGTATCTGTTTGAGCTGGGGGAGGAGGCTGGGAGAGGCAGCAGGGAATGCTGGAAAGGAACCGTGGGGGCTGGAGAGGGAACTGGGCCCAGCAAAACTGCCCTGGAACAGCAACTGCTGGGAGGGGGAGCAGAGGGAGGCTGGGTTCCTGTAATCCCTGTGCAGTGCATTCCCCTCTGCCGGGCTTGAGGCAACTGGCGGAGAGGGTGGGACAGGAAAATCATTCCTGGAAAGCCCAAGGATTGCTGTGGGATCGCTGCAGCCCAGGACACAGGCCGAGATGGGCAGGAACTCCAGCTGTAATTAAAGGCCACACCTTAATTTTAGGGACTCTGGTGTTTAGTGTCACTGGAATGTTGGTGCCTTTGACCCTCCTGGGGTTGTGGCAGGGTTTGGAACCACACAGTGCCGTGGGGTTGGTGCTGGAGGAGTCTGGTGGGATTGCTGCCCTCGGCAGTGAGGGAGATGGAAATGAGTTTGCAGGGCGAGCTTTCAATCAAACCTGAATTCTGCTTTCCAGGTCTAGGAAGAAAACCTGATACATCCTGAAAATGTTCAACAAATCCTTTGGAACTCCGTTCGGAGGCAGCACCGGCTTTGGGACAACTTCAACTTTTGGGCAAAGTAAGTGAAATATCCAGGGTGGCTTTAACGAGGTGTCCGTTCCTGGAGGGCAGCTCAGAGAGTGCCAGGGAGGTGGTGATCCCTCGTGGGGTGGAATTAGGGAGCTGCTGGGTGCTCCCTGAGGCTTCACCCCTAAGCAAGCTTTCAGTTTGGGCAGGCAGCCAGGGCTCCATGTCTGCTGTGGGAAGGAAGAGTGGAAAACGCAGTGCTTGGGGAAGGTGGTGTCGCTGGGGTGTTTGGGGCTGGAACAAATCCACGGTGGGGTTGTTGGGAAGGCCTGGAAGGAAGAGCTGTGTGTTGTGGGGCTGGTTGTGGAGCTGCAGCCTGAGGGGTTCTCTGGGCTGTGCTTGCAGATGCTGGCTTTGGTACCACCAGCGGAGGAGCCTTCGGGACCTCGGCCTTTGGCTCCAGCAACAACACGGGCAGCCTGTTCGGGAGCACGCAGAGCAAGCCAGGTACTGCCCCAGGGGCTGGGGAGGGAGGGAGGGAGGGGAGGAAGGGAGCAGCCTAAACCAAGGAATTGCCAACAAAAATACCTAAAAAGCCCAGGACAGCAAGAACCTGTCCAGGCTCCCAAGCTGAGGAGGTTGTGAAGCATTAACAGCCTGTTTCTGTCTGCAGGAGGGTTGTTTGGGTCCACCACGTTCAACCAACCAGCCACCTCCTCCACCAGCACTGGCTTTGGCTTTGGGACATCCACTGGCACATCAAACAGCCTCTTTGGAACCACCAGCACTGGTGGGAGCCTCTTCTCATCCCAGAACAATGCCTTTGCACAGAACAAACCAGCTGGTTTTGGAAGTGAGTGACACTGGCACCCCTCTGCTGATGGGTGGGAGAGCAGTGGGAGCTGGGACAGGGTCAGGGTGGGGCTGGGGGGTTTCTCCTGCAGGATACAAGGACATCTTTCTTCCCACAGCAGCCAGGGAGGAGCCCACATGCTCCTGAATCTAGCTGTGATTCCAGCCCTGCATTTTAAAATTAAAATGCCAAAGGTTGTCGGTTGG